CGAGGGGAGGGTCCGACCCGCTGCCCCTGCAGGCGAAGAGAAAGAGGCACCCCCCCTACCCCTCCAAGGGCAGCCGCAGCATGAGGCGGGACTGCCGCTCTCTGCCCGCCTTATGACTTAATTCTGTGCTGTACTCCCAGCGTTCTTCCTGCGAAATACTTTACATCTGTATTATTAATACAGCTCTCTCCACTCCAGGGCACGAGTGCTTGCCGCTAAGGCAGCAAGTGGCAGAGCTGGCATCCGTCGTGTAGGATTTGTTTTATCTGTCATTCCTAATGGTAAAATAACATAGGCAGGGTTTTTTTTTTTGTTTAATTTGCTTTACAGTTATTGTTTGCTCAAAGCAGATGGCCAGTGTGGTTTCTCAATAAGCCCGTGTGGATTTGATTTACAAGCTAGGCCCTCTGAAAGCTCTGGAAAGATGTGAAATAAGAGGAGGTGTGTGGCAGGGCAGCGCCCTTTGGAAGCACTGGTACCCGAGGGCTGAGCTCTGCAAAGTCCAGCCTTGCCCCTGGGATGTGCCGTCCTTGCAAAGCCAGAATACAGAATAGCTTCTGGCCAGGTTAGGGTTTTATTTGGGTAGGGGATAGTAAAAGAGTGTGTTTGTCTCATGTATAGGAAGCTTGCACTCATGCAGGATGATTGTTTTGAAGTGTTCCTCCACACCAGGCAGTCAAGGTAATAATTTTTCACTATCCAAATGGAAGTTATGCTGGGTGAGAGGCAACAGAGTAGAAATAAAAGCAAGCTGTTCTTACTTGTGATTAATTTTGACAGATCTTGCTTTCTTTGCAGCAGCCCCTGAGTGAAGCATTTCTTACCAGTAAAGGTTTCGTTCCCAGACATTGTAGCATGATACATGAAAGATCATAAACTGACTACTTAGGAGTTCTAATTCAAATTCACAGAGATTTTTAGGACTTTCATGAAGGTACCATAATGAAGAAATTTATCCTATGTTTTTCCCACTAGATGATCTGATTTTTAGAAATGCTAGTACTAAACAGGCCAGGGTAGGCATAGCCTGTTGTGAACAGAAGCTGGTAAAGACAACCTTGGTTTTAACTTCCAATAAACAGGTTACTAAGAAAACACACTTCTTCATGACAGGGCACAGTTCTACCCTTAGGTTATGGCTTTATGCAGTATGGCAAGGCAGATGAATAGTTTGCTGCCACCCAAAGGGAGAAGTCAGATAAAAGATCCCACCTTTTTCACCTGTTCCCCTCTGAGCCACTTTTTGCCAGCTCTGTCACCCATCAGACCCTCTTATGTACCATGTTTATCTCACTGTTAGCAGAAAACAGTAACAGACTGGCATTCTTTTCTGTTAGGTTATCAAGCAGAATGGGGGCACTGAAAACTCTGAGAAGTGCCAAGGCTCTAAAAAGGTATGAGGCAGACAGAAAAAAAAAAA